CACCCACCGACCATTTTCCTCCCATCCTCGATACCTACCACCCCGCACGACTCAACCATCATGGGATCTCATCGCTCCTCGCGCACATTGCGACGTGAAACAAGCAAATCCGATGCCCAATGCGCCAATCACCGTTACAAGGATCCCTACAACAGTACCCGTTGCACTACTCGCTGCGCTACTCCCCCACCGCAACATTTAACCTCTTATTTTCATAATCGTCGGCTATTATTGCCGCTCTCTGTCCTATCAATTATCTCCCCCGCAGCCGAGAATCGCCGAACCATACCGTGGGTTATGAAAGCGAGCCTTGCGGGCATGCTACGTGGCTTCTTCCGTTCATCCTCACCCTCGAGCAGCCGGCAATTTCCGTGGACGCGACCTTGGCCCATTACTTAATCCCACCCGGGAGAATGGGGAAGCGAGGGCGGTAAGGGAAGGGTTTTTCATCGTTTATTATTATCGTGCTCGCGCGACTTTATCTCGCTTCCCGCCTCTCACTCGCCTAATCAGCCAAACACACGTAGAAATTCATTATAAATGTGCTTTGAAGATTAAGGACGCGCGACTCTATGATGCTTTGTCTTAAGCAAGCAGACGTCTGTATTGTAAGTGACTTACGGCACTTGTGCTCGTAGTTCGGAGCTCGTTATCCTCATCCTCGCGCGAACCGTCCAACTGGGCTAAGGGATTATCCGCGGCGAGGAGAGGCAAAGCGATGTGGGTAAGGAGCCGCGTGTTTTGGCGAGTGAAGTTTGGCGAGGCAATTGGGATGAGATCGTGGCGGGAAATAGCTGGGTTAATGATCGGATTAGCTGCGTTTGTTCGTCGCGTACGTCTAATGGAATTGGAGGAAGTACGGCGTGGATGACGGTGGCTCAGACCGGCGCTCCTCGATAGGCGAGGAAAGAAAGTCATCGGATCGTCGCATCTTATCGGTGCTACAAAAGAACGTTATTTAATCGGATTATCAGTAGTTTATGGCGTCCATAATGCTGTACATCGTGGAATTAATGCACATTGGTGTGGTTGGGCTCGCTTGGCCGCCGATTGGTCAGAAAATTGCTCATCTACTCGCAAGTTTGAGAGAGTTTGCTATTGAATTCTGTATCGCGATACAAGCATTATATAATCATTCTCTCGCATATGTCCATTTAAAGTTTCTATTTTATTTTATTCTATCTTACTTTAGATTTCCAATAAATCATGATCCTTTGGCCGTCTAACGTGGACTCTGCTTTGTCGAATATTTATAATATGCAATCGTAGATTAAAATAAATGTATTCTTTTTCTATTCCGCCCCCCCCCCACCCCACCCCACCCAACTTTACCCCACCCCACCCCCTTCAATTTGGAATTTATTTAACACTCAGCATTCTGTTTATTTTCCAACATTATAACAATGAGCGCGTAATCTATTTTCTTAAATCCTAATTGTTAAATAATGAACAACCTTTATTATTTTTTAGAAATTCTTTTTTTTTTTTTTTTTTTTTTAATTTATAGCCAAGTGTCAAGATATATACAAGATATATGTATATATGTATATATCATAAAATGAAAATATTCTGCTAGATGCTGGATTATTATTCGAGTTCGAATAGTCCTGAGTCACTTGATAATCCCTTTTTGCGCAAGTAATTCGAGTGTCCAATTTCGAATTTCGGATAGTTTATGCTGATACAGGTGATTAGTGTTTTGCTCAAGTACTTTTAGCGTTCATAAGTTTTTCTGCTCGATTGCCGATGATATTATTTCAGTTCGATGTCGCTCATACCGTCATTAGTTTATCTAATTACCGTTTACATTCGTGTATTTCATCTCCGCCGATACCTTTCCAACTGTCTTAACAAAGAACGGAACAAAAGAAGGAAAAACGAAAAAACAAAAAAAAAACAAAAAAAAAAAAACATTGATCAAAATAGATAAAGTTTTGCCGCTGTAATAAGTAATTTTATTCATCGAACTGTATAATCAAAGACGAACGAACGAATATTCATTCGCCTTATTTCAATTACAAAATTATTATCTTTCATTTTAGTTTCCATTACTTTAAACCAAACGCAAGATGTAAAAGTATTAACATTTTCTATTAAAATTAAATAAAATTTGCTAGAATATAATATTTGAAGAATATAATATTTTACTGCCTTTAACACGAGCAGAATTAGGTACGATTTTTAATTGTCCTCGAGATCGTGACTCGCCATTACAATAATTAATCGATCAATTAAGAATCTCCAAGTGAACCGAAATTTCTAGCCTCTAAGGGGATAAGTGTAATGATATAATTATGATACTTTATCCGCCTACTTTTGGAAAATAAATTTTGAGGAAAAAGTTTTAAAGCCATTTCGGCTCTTTTTACATATATTACCTAACGAACGTTCGCAACATTGCATAATTGCGCTTTACGATTATCATACAATTTTAATACGAAACTTTGAATACATTATTTTTTTAAGACAATACATGTACAATAAAAAAAAAAAAAAAAAAAAAAAAAAAAAAAAAAAATAGAAAAAAAAAAAAGATTAGACCTTACTTAAAATATTAAGCAGCACGAAGTAACGAATGCGTTAACAATGCACACATTAACAATGAACGCTTGAATAGCTTTGTTCGCATTGGCGAAATTATATATTTTTATTTATTATTCAAAGGCTTATTTAGAATTGCATAAGGGAGCTGACGGTGATGGATACGTTTGTATTATTTATACTATCATCCTACGAATGTTTGCCTATTTTCACATAATTGCCATCCAATAAACGACCGCACTCCTTCCGACTTTACCATTAATAATTTAAAACAACCGTCACTCTTTCTTCCTCATAATACACAAAATTCTTGTATTGTTAATAACATTAGAGCAATTATTTTATCACGATAATAACGATTCATTCAATTAATTCCACGAGCATAGCCTTAACGACTGTATAGCAGACCATTCACATCCTCCTTCCCCCATGACTCAATTATATATAGACATTTTTATATATATATATATATATATATATATATATATATATATATATATATATGTGAGTGTGTTGAATGTGTGTATATTCCATTCGATATTTGCCATGGACGAATAACTTGATTTATATGATTATATAAGGTGAAAATTAAGCATTTGGCATTTTACGGCCAAACAATATCATCAATAAGCTTTCGAAATTAAGACGAAAGTCTCGAACAATGTAAATATTGAGCTGCCAATTAAAACCAATTAAAATTATCCCTTATCCGTATAATATTCATGATTATTATTCATCCGATTAACGCGTTTACGTAAAATTTGCCGTATCGCTCTTGTAATTTAACGACTTTAGAGCATTCTGTAGGTTTACGAGACCTTATTTCAGATTCTGCCTATACCAGTTCGTCGAAATCTACGTAAAACGTGGCTAATTTGAAGGATTGGAAGATAAATTTTACTTGAGATTTTTTTCCTTTTCATTTAATATTTAATTAGATAAGGATTATTAGAGCGATTTTATCGTTTGATAAAGAGCAACATGCACTCCGACCTCTTCCACTTGGCATACAAAGTCGATGAAGAAGAGCACGAGGATTGATGGAAAAGCTTGTTATTTACTTGATTAATTTATCGAGAAATTTGAGCATCGTCGGTGTATATAATCGTAGCAAAGACCTTTCACATCCGACTCACCACTTAAGCTCATGCAAAATATGAGGAACATCTACGCGAAGTTAATAGCACTGGCTTCGTGCGATTTGCGTCGCAATCGGTGTCATTGGCAATGGGCGGCGTAAATTAGAAGAGAGGCGAGTTAAGAATCCGTAAGTAAGTGTAAGAAATTGCAGGTGTCGGAATGTCGGCTATAGGGCGACAAAAATATTGCTCCGATTGCGCGATAAGTGTGGTTATTTTCGTAAAAAAAAAAAAAAAAAAAAAAAAAAAAAAAAAAAAAAAAAGAGAGAGGAAAAAAGAAAAAGAAAGAAAACATTGCCGGAGTGTCCATCTTAATTCGAGGAAGGACGCTACGCATGAGCAAGAGCCAATATGGTGTCACGACGCGAGCCAAAGAGTTTTCGATTCGGTAATCGAGATTGTGTGATGATTCTCTTGCGATTCCGAATGTGCGGCACTTTGGCGCGCTAGTAAATTTTTCAAGTGAGAGCCGAATTTTTCGTGCCGCCTTGAATGGAGAAATGCACCGAGTGAGAGCGAATCGATAGTGCGCCGAGAAGTGTGTAAAGAGCGTCTTACATTAATTTCACGCATAGAGATTTTCGGCTTTAATAATGTCGTAAAATGCAATTGATGCAGTGCCGAATTTGGATGTGAATTTCTTAAAAAGAACAAAAAAAAAAAAAAAAAAAAAAAAAAAAAAAAAGTACGGAAAAAGATTATGAAAAATCTTTCAAGTTGCCGTACGTTTCGCTCACATAATTATTGAGCGCATAAACATGCTGTCAGCTGGCCTAAATATCCTAGCAAAGTTACTTTTAATATCTTGCATTAAATATAGTATAATGAAAAGGTCAGGACGAGAGCAATAGAGAAAAAGTATCTATTTATTCTATGTTTTATGACCGTAAGTCATGATAGAATAGAAGTTCACAAGTTTTGATGGACTTGAATGAGCAGATACGGTCGCATGGAATGTTCTTAGTATTATTTTGCACACAACAAGCGATTGGTGAATTTTGGTATTAAAATTATTCTACATTTGTACAATAACATGTTACGTAGCACACGAAACCGAGACCTTGGCAATTAAATCGTGTTGTCAAACATATTTAAACGGAATTGTAAAAATTAATTGATCGGGAAAGTCGTTAAGTTCATACTCGTCGAATGGTGCGTATGATTTTTTTTTTTTTTTTTTTTTTTTTTTTTTTTTTTTATGTCCATGTAAGTAGACAATTGTTGCTATTT